AGTTCTCCTGGGGCCCATAGAAGGCACTACGTTGGTCTGGATGAAAAGGATCAGGAAACAGTATTGGTTCCCAGGTGTCTGGGGCCTCAAGACTAGGAATGGCACAGGCCCCAAACTAGGAGTAGAGAACTGTGGGGGAGATGGAAGGGTGAATGAGGCTGGCGGAGTCAAGGGGCAGAGGGCTGCGCGATAGACTTGAGACTTGAGACTTGAGGATAGGAGAGCAGGTTAGGAGAGTTAGCCGGTGGTGCAGGTCCAGGGAAGCAGAGAGAGGTGAGGGCGGGGCCAGGTCCAGAAGCAGTGCTCTTGGAGCCCAAGGAAGGCACTTCTGGGTGGAGCGTGAAAAGGATCAGGAAGCAGTATTGGTTCCGCAGGTGTCTGGGGACCCAAGACTAGGAATGGCACAGGGCCCAAACTAGGAGTAGAGAACAGCGGGGGAGATGGAAGGGTGAATGAGGCTGGCGGAGTCAAGGGGCAGAGGGCTGCGCGATAGACTTAGCCCAAGAGACTTGAGGATAGGAGAGCAGGTTAGGAGAGTTAGCCGGTGGTGCAGGTCCAGGGAAGCAGAGAGAGGTGAGGGCGGGGCCAGGTCCAGAAGCAGTGCTCTTGGAGCCCAAGGAAGGCACTAAGTTGGTCTGTGTGAAAAAGATCAGGAAGCAGTATTTGTTCCCAGGTGTCTGGGGACCCAAGGCTAGGAATGGCGCAGGGCCCAAACTAGGAGTAGAGAACAGCGGGGGAGATGGAAGGGTGAATGAGGCTGGGGGAGTCAAGGCGGGAAGGGCTCCACAATAGGCTTACCCCAAGAATGGCCTGAGGGTAGGAGCGAGTTTTTGTGATTCTTACTGAAAAAGATTGGAAAATTTCAAATTCATAAAGTTGCAGAATTGAAGTGATCCTTCTGTTCCTCAATTATTTTTCTGACTTTATCCCTGGATAATAGTAATAAAAAATGATTAAAGTTAATGATGTTTTATTTAAACTATATTCCTGTACTAACTCTGGGTACAGAGCAGTGGAAGTTATGATAAGAACAAATAGAGAAAATTGAATAACAAGGTTATACTGGGAAACTGAGTGAGATGGTGTACACCTTTAGTCCCAGTCCTCCAGAGGCAGTGACAGGCAGCTTTCTGTGAGATCGAGGCCAGCCTGGTCTACTTAGTGAGTTCCAGGCCAGCTGGAGCTACACGGAGACCCTGTCTCAACACACCCCCCCCAAAAAAAAAGAAATAAGAAAGATTATACTGGGAAAGTAAAAGGGGAAAAGTCCGGAGAGAGGATATTTATGAAGATCAACCATCCAAAATAAGGTAAACAGCAACATGTATTTGCTGAAAAGCAGTGGGGGCTGTGGAAGGCCGACCTCACTAACTTGAAGGACCAGGATGCTCTGCCAGTCTTCTAGCTGCACATTGCTTTCCAGGACTTCCACTGAAGATTGGCAGAGGAGGAAATGGAAACAGAGCAAGCTGTAATAAATTTAGGGAATTAGTTGTGTGAAATTGTTGTCTGTGTCATTAATGTTCTTCAAATATTTTATTCTAGCCCTTCAAATCACACACTTGACTATATGAACATAGTAGTTTACAAAAGACTGAAAGCCTAGCTTGCCTGAAAGCTAATTTATCTGTGTTAATCATTCTGATTATATTAGGTCTCTAGTGAAAAGTACCTCCATCAGGCAAATAAGAAAAGAAAGGAACATTCCAAAGCAGACGTGCGTTTTCCTGAACTAAACTACAGTCATCTCCCTGAGCTCAGAGCTTTAGAAGGCATAGGTACGCTCATGCTGCTTCTACTTTTTTCAGCAGTTTCGCTTATATTACTAGATTGCATGCTATATAAACTAACAACATTAAATATTTAAGCTGGACCTAGTGGCCCAGGCCTTTAATCCCAGCACTCTGGAGGCAGGGATAGGCAGATCTCTATGAGTTTGAGGCCAGCCTGTTCTACATAGTGAGTTCCATACCAGTTGGGGCTACAGGGAGATCCTGTCTCAAAATAGACCAAAAATAAATAATAAATAAAAATATCTAGCTGGGTGTGGTGGTGCACGCCTTTAATCCCAGCACATGGGAGTCAGAGGCAGGCAGATCCCTGTGAGTCCAAGGCCAGCCTGGTCTACATAGTGAGTTCCAGAACAGCTGGGGCTACAGGGAGACCCTGTCTCAAAAAGACCAAAAAAAAAAAAAAAAAATAGAGTACTTTGCATGCATAAGTGGCTAAAATGTTCATATTTATGTATAACAAGTATTTACTGAGACACAATTGTGGAATGTGAAAAACTAACAAAATGTCTTTTTTTAAATAATGTTTTTGGTTATTTTTATCTAGCTCGGAATTCTAGGCTAATAAAGAAAGAGAACAAGTCTCTTTCAGAATTTCGAATTCCTTCTCTGGCCGCTATTGACTTGCATGTTCCCAGTATTGCATTACATCAGGTACAGAAATACTCTTTACATATGGAACTCAGGTCTCTCGGGTCTCTTAGTATGTTTTGGGGAGAATTTGCTCTTAAGAATTTGGTGTTTCATTACATGTAGTACCTTATTACAGACATATCTATAGCAGCATTTCTCAATTTGCAATAATTTTTTATTTTGTGTTTGATTTTTCTTTTTGAGAGAGGCCCTGTATCTTGTTACATAGCCCAAGCTCGCCTTGAACTCAGTCCCCCTGCCTTTTCCTCTAGAGTATTAGGAGTATATGCATGTTCCACCACATTCAGGAGGAATCCATTATTTTATAGGTTAAAAATGTGTGCAGGGGTGAGGGGAGCTGGAGAAATGGCTCAGTGGTTAAGAACACTGACTGGAAAAAAAAAAAAAAAGAACTCTGACTGAGCCAGGTGTAGTGGTGAACACCTTTGGTCCCACCACTTGGGAGGCAGAGACAGGCAGTGCGACGGACCAGCCCAGACCGGAGCACTCAGTCCGACGGGAACAGGGAATCGGAGAGTGGGCAAGGATTTGGTGAGTGACAAACAGAAACAACACAAGAGATGGTTGATGATTTGAAGATTGTGCAAGCATCAGGTTGATTTCATGGTTAATCATTTTCTTAGAAATACAATTCAAAATCAAAACAATACAGTACAGTGTACAGTGTTCTTATCTAATTAATCAGGTGCTTAGACTATTTGTCCTTTTCCCTTAGTGGTTTGGCAACATCAGCTACTTATAAATTTCATGGTTGGTAATTTTATGGTTCCGTTTTCTCAATTTTATTTTACTTTTGAGGTTTCAGTGGCCGAGACCAATGACTAGGTCAGTAATTTATATTTTTTCCATGTTTTTTATATTGTCTGTAATTATTTAAGTATACTTTGCTATGCTGACTAGTAGTAAAGACACCAAATTAGTCTGGATCTAGCTAACCTATCCATAAACTATAATGAATACCATGAAACTTTTCTTTCTTGAATATTTACCCATTTATTATTTTCTCTATAAACTCTTGTATGAGGAAGTGGTTCATTAATGGGCTTGGGGATTCTGAATATGCTCTCCTTTCCCTTAAGGGGATGCCATAGCCTACCTCTCCCTAACTCGAAGGCAATTTCTAAGTCTGTCTTAACTGTAGACAGTAATTTTCTTTTAGTATTTTTTAAATTTCCTTGAGTCAACTCTAGGGACTGAAGCAGGGGGATTATATACTAATAATTCTTGCTGTAACTTATCTAGAATTTTCCAACTTCTCCAGGAAGCATTCTTCCTTTGACATTTTCTCAGCCTCGACCCACAGAGAGTTCCTCACGTGGGCTCCACTGGAGGTGGCGTTACAAACCATTTCAAGGAATGACACAATAGAGGTGGGCCTAATGACCTGAGTAGGTACAAAGCAGTTCCTCTATGAGGAAAGAACAGGAATAAAGACAGCAATGAAGACAAGAACTAAAGCAGAACAGCCAAGGACACAGCATGCTTTTTTAAAGAGCCATTCTCCAGGAAGCATTCTTCCTTTGAAGTTTTCTCAGCCTCGACCCACGGAGAGTTCCTCACGCGGGCTCCACTGGAGGTGGCGTGACAAGGCAGATCTCTGTGAGTTTGAGGCCAGCTTGGTGGTCTACATTCCAGGCCAGCTGGGGCTACAGGGAGACCCTGTCTTAATAAGACCAAAAAGAACACTGACTGTTCTCGTAGAGGACCTGGGTTCAGTTCCTAGCACCCATATGGCAGTTAACACCTATCCCTAATTTCAGTTCCTAGGGATCTGATGCCCTCTTATGGGTTCCTCAGGGACTGTGCACTCACCTGATGCACTTCCATACATGCAAACACACATAAAAATAAATAAGCAAATAAAATCTTTTTGAAAATGTGTGTGTGTGTGTGTGTGTGTGTGTGTGTGTGTGTGTGTGTGGCCTAGCTGTGGCCTTTATATAAAAATAGATTTTTTTGCCAGTTTGTGGTATTTCACCATGTTAAGCTCAAAGTTAGAATCTAATTTTAAGAGAGTAAAACTCTGGAATTGCTTTATTTATTTATTTATTTTGTTTTATTTTATTTTTTTTTTGTCTTTTTGAGACAGGGTCTCCCTGTAGCCCCAGCTGTCCTGGAACTCACTATGTAGACCAGGCTGGCCTTGAACTCACAGAGATCCGCCTGCCTCTGCCTCCTGAGTGCTGGGATTAAAGGCATGCGCCACTGTGCCTGGCTTGGTTTTGAATATTTTAATTTTTATGATATATTTCTGTTTTTATTTTAGGATGAGATCACCTGATCTTTCACACACAATCTTACCATTTAATATAAAACATAGAAACTTTGTAAAGATATTCCCTCCCCTTAAATCTGAACTTTATGTTAGAACTATCACATTTATTATGTTTGAATACACTGAAACCCCCCCATTACTTCCTGCTTTTTGCTTTAAAGTCATAAATATTTTCAACAATTTGTCAGAGGAAAGTCTTTTTTTACCTAGCTCTTTACTGCTCATGTGGTTCTCCCTTTCTTAGGTCTCAGCTTTCCTACAGTCTGCGCTGAAGGAGCTACCAGCAGCTCCTTGGGGAGCAAGTCTGGAGCTTTCACATTCTTGTAGTTTTCCTTCATTTGAGAATAACTTTATTTTACTGTAATTCTTGAAATGTACTCTTGCTAAATACAGATACTGGCTGTTTTTTAAATTTTATTATTATTTATTTATTTTCCTCCTTCAGCACATATTCCTCTCTTGATTGTTAGGATTTCTAGTGAGAAATCTTGGGCATTTGAATTGTTGTTTCCCTTGTACATAATGTTTTGTTTTCTCTAGTTGTTTTAAGATTTAATCTTTTTTGTGTGTTGTTTTGTTTTCACCAGCTTGAATATGAAAGGCACAGTTCTGAACTTATCCTATATGAGGTTGAAAAGCTGCTTGAATCTGTAAACTTGTATTTTTTGTCAAATATGGGGAGTTGGGTCATTATTTATTTATAATTTTTTTGATACAATATCTTTCTCCTTTCCTTCTAAGATTCATTAAAATTGTTTTTCTGAGGATTGAAAGCAGAGACCAGTGAGCCACACCCCAACCTTCCTTCTGAAATTCTAGTGATAAATATTTAAGACTTTGTGATATTTTCTCAATTTCTTGAGACCTACTTTTTCCAAACTTTTCTTGCTATTCTTCAGATTGTACAGTTTCTATTGACCTGTGCTCATTCCTTCTCTGACATTTTATCTCTATTGTGCTATTTTGTATGAGTATGTGTATATGTGTATATGAGCGTGTGAGCATGTTCATGTGTGTGTGGTGTGTGCAGAGACCAGAAGATAACCTCAGGTATTGTGTCTCAGGATCTGTCCATCTTGATTTTTGAGACAGACTCTTTCACTGGCTTGGAACTCACTGATCAGGCTGGGCTAGCTGTCCAGAGAGTCTCAGCTATCTACCTGTCTCTGCCTCACCAATGCTGGGATCATAAGCACATGCTACAAAGCCAGGCTTTTTTTGTTTGTTTGTTTGTTTGTTTGTTTGTTTTAGACAGGGTCTCCCTATAATCCCAGCTGGCCTTGAACTCACTGTGTATACCAGGCTGGACTCAGTCTCCCTGAGATCCTCTTGTCTCTGCCTCCAGAGCCCTGGGACTAAAGGTGTACACCACTACACCTGGTCAAGCCTAGCATTTTAATCCAGTGATTAAACTCAGATCCTTATTTGCAAGAGCTTTACCCACTGAGCTATCTCCTCAGTGCTTCATTCTGTTATTAAGCCCATATAATTAGATTTTTAAATTTCAGATATGGTCCTAAAATATCCATTGGGCTTTTTTTGATTTATTTTTATTTTATGTGTATGAGTGTTATGCCTACATGTGTGTTAGTATACCTGTGTCATGCAGTGCCTGCAGATAACAGAAGAGGGCGTTGGATTCCCTGGAACTGGAGATATGGATGATTGTTAGCTGCCATGTGGGTGCTGGGATTTGAACCTGGGCCTTCTTCAAAAACAGTCAGTGCTCTTAACTGTTGAGCCATCTCTCTAGCCCCTGGGCTCTTTGGCTTATAGCTTCTATGTCTGTGCTAAGAATTTCTTCTCATTTATTTTGTTTTTCTTTACTTTATGTAATAGTTATAATGACTGTTTTGAGGTCCTAATATTATGGTTCCAACAGATTTTGGTTTTTTGTTTTTGGATAAGTTAGAGAAATTGGTTGTAGTGGACTATGCCAGAACAGAAGTGTCTCCTGTTTTTGTTTGTGTTTTGTTGTTATTGTTTATTTGTTTTTATGTTTTTAAGTCAGGTAGCTTATACTGGCCTTGAACTCAGAATCCTCTCACCTCAGTCTCTCTAGTGCCCGGTGTGGTGGTGCATGCTTGTAATCCCAGAACCTGGGAGTGGAAAGCAGAAGGATCAGGAGTTCAAGGTTATCCTTGGCTATAGAGCATGCTCCAGGCCAGCCCAGACTATAAGAAACTAATAAAATATGCATAAACTTATGAGTAGTGTCCTCTTCATCTTTTTCCATACAAGCAGTTTAAGCTATGATAGTTAATCCTAAGCATCTGATATCTGAGCATACAGAATAAGAATTCTTGGGGAGTGGGATTTTTGTAATCACTGAACACCCATAATGCTTGATTATTTATAGGAATCAGGATCACCCCTTTCAGATGATTCAGAAAGTGATTTTCCTCGGATGGAACACCAGCATTGAGAATCATTTTAATTCTGAACAAGGTAGGTCTGATTTCTCATACTTCAAGCTTTCCATGACAAATATTTTTGTGGCTAACTGAAGAAATTTTTTTTAAATAAATCATATTTTTTTTATTCTTATTCTTTTATGAAGTTAGTTAAAAATTAATGAACAAGAAATTAAAGAGACTGTGCTGCAATTAAGTTAGAATATTCTAACTGGAAAACAATTACTGTGAAACTATTTACATTCTCATAGAATTATAAACATTTCTCAAGGAATACTTTACAGCACAATTTTTTTTTTTTTCATACAGAAGAATTCATTCCAAAGAAACTGACATTGAGACGTTTTCACATGCATTTCTAATCTCTATATGCATGACTATCACTGGTCACAGTCGCCCAC